GATCCTGAATCCGATAATACTTACCATCTTCAGGATCGTAAACACGCTTGCCTTCCGTCTTCTTCTGTTCTTCTGCTTCCTTAATATCACGGCCGAAGTTGAGAATGCATTGAGCGACGTGTGAGTATAGGAACTTTTCCGGGGGCCAGTTCTTGTAGAGGTCGAGGGGATCGTAGTGGGTTCCGCTTCCGATGGAGAGGGTGAAGTCTTGATTTTCTTTTGCAAGGCGTGCGAGGCAGACGTCGCCACCGCGAGTTGTGATGTCAGCACTTGTTCTTGGGTCTCTGTCGAAGATACCGAGGGCGGTTTGGGGTTCTTGTTGGACTTCGAAGATGACCTTTTGGATCGCGTCGTGTGCTTTTCGCAAAGGAGATGCAAAGGCTTTGTCGTCTTTTGCTATGCAGCCCCAGTGCTCCTCGTCGGCGGCGGCGCCTTCCAGGATATAGATACCCATCCGCGGATCTTGGCTCCATTTGTTGTCCCAGGAGGGGTCTGTAAAGAGGGAGCGTTCGAGGTGGTGCCAAACTTTTGCGCATTGGTCTTGCAGAGCTTGCCAGCTGAAGTAGAGGTCCATGGCATCGCCTTCAAGCCAGTAAATAAGGTCGCGGAGGAGGGCGGTAGGGCCGTTGTCATTTGCGGAGTGCTCTTCAATGTATGGGCGCCAGCGTTGGCTTGCTAGTGTCCACCATACCATGTCGCGCTCTCTGTTGAACTTTTTGGCTAGGCGGACCAGCTCTGTTTCCGATCGAAGGGTGTTGTTGAGTTGTCTGACTTTATCTATGTTTGGATATCGAACGTTAGTGTCTTGCTGATAAGCTGCTCACGTTAAGTGTGTACGTACCGTCAACAGCTGCGTCGGTAGTTGCCCATCCAAAACTTCGCTCCAGGAAGATCGGAGCCAGGATACTGGGTTCTTGTAACCAACGGCCGTCCCTTAGCTTCCGCATTTCCTTCAGCGTTTTGGAGGTCTTCTTGCCTCGTGGCTCACGGGCTGCATCAGAGGCAGTCCGCCCTACCATTAGATAGACCTTGCGAAGGGACTCGCCGAGGGTCTGGGGGGCACCACCGAAGAAAAGCCTCGCTTCGTCTTGCTGGTGGATGAGATACTCCATATCCGGCCATACAGGGCTTTCAGGATGCAATAGCTTGGTAGCAACGTATAAGTGTGTCATCATGCAAATCTGACCCAACGCGCGTTCTAGCTGATAACCTGATGTGTTGAGTTGCAAATAAGCGTCGTACATCAAGAGTCCACATCGGATCGGATTGGGCTTCAGGGTTTCGCATGGGTCATCCGCGACTGCTTTGGTATAGGTAAGGTCTGTGGCCATGTCTTTTCGAATATCCGCTGCATGTCCTTCAGTCGGGAAGGGTTGTATCCAGCTACGCTCCAGCGCCTCTTTCATGGCCACCTCCCGATCTACGCGTACATTTAGCTCATCGAACGGATCGTGCAGATGGTCTTTAGTTAGAATATCTTGTATGTCGAGCAGTATTTGTATTCCGAACTACCCGTATATCAGTATGGTATGCGCCTTGTTTCTTCATCAGTACTTACAGTAGTCCAAATAGGGATCTGGCGATGTTTGAACATATGCGCCATACCGCGAGATACTTCGTCCATAGCTATTGTCTCGCCATGGCGCGAGGTAGTGTGTCGGAACATCCGGGCCAATTCAAGCGTGCGGTAGGTATCTTTGTGGACGCCACCGACTGGATTAAAAGCAGATTTCGCAACGATGGGAATATCCGTTTTAGGTTTCTTCGAAATCCTAATCGCCTCAAGGTAGTATTTTAGGCCGGCGTAAACTGGCCACATACACCAGTAAACTTGTGAGCACGCATGAGAGCCAGGCATCATAAGGCCACTGGGAAACAGGAAGTCCATAAAATCGGATGGGTCGATGATGTCTGGATGCTGACTGATCAACAAAAGAGCTGGTAGTACTGCTAAGTATTAATGGCTGTGAGCTAAATGGCGAGACGTTCAGTCGATGACTTACCCCATACGGGATAATTTTTCTGAGGGTACTTCTTTGGGCGTACAAGCGTTAAATCAAATTCAGACTCAGCGTGCCGCACCAAGTCGATAGCTGTGTTCGCGATGACAGAAGCGTTCACCAAGTCGACTTTGCCGTCCTTGTATGAAAACCAGACTTCTTGAACAATGTCGCGAAGCTCATGTATGTTGGTAATGAACGACTGGATAGCGAAGAAGAACTCGGATTCGATTTCCGACTCGTCTTGCTGGATTTCAACAGGGTTCACAGGAGGTAGCGATTCCATCGAGTCATCTCGTCTGGGGGTAGGCTCCTCCTCAAGCTCATCCTCAGGCTCAGCCTCTTCAGCAGCGTTTTCAGGGTCCACCGAGAGACTGGAGAAAGTATTCTTCATCTCTCGCAGGGTGTCAACGTCGGACTTTTGACTGGGCTCCTTCCTTTGAGCACGAGGCACAGACTCCTTAACCAGCGGCTGAAGGATATCAGCAGCATTTCTAAGAATTTCGACGAAGTGAGCATGGGTCTGATTGCTCTCGTCTAGGACCGTGTCGCTATGCGATTGTTTGAACCAAGTTGCCGCCTTTTCTCGAGCCTGGATGGCACGATCGAACAGTTTGCTGAGCGCTCCAGGGACCTCGACCTTGGGGACTTTCTTCGCAATGGCTTCTGCCATGGGCACAAACTCTCCAACATTGATGCGATAGGTATCCGCAGGGGTATTCGCGGAGGCAGCAGCAGCTTTTTGGGCTTCTTTCCTCGCCTTGCCCTTGAGTCGTTTAGCTGGCTGCGGAGTTGACTGTGGAGGAGCTAGACAGCTACTGCGCTGGTAGCCCACTTTTTCGGCGGTCGCTGCTAGCCATCCCGCGATGTATTCTGGATATGTTAATTGAGGAAGGTCCAATTAGGCGGTCGACCAACCTGTGTCCTTCTTGTATTGCCTGTAATTCGACGAAAAGAATGAAGCCATGGTGTGACAGATGGAAATAGCCACCAATCAATTATGGGTTGATACCTGATCTAGGCTGATGGAACAATGTATTGGGCTAGAGAGATGAGGACCCGGCGGTTTGACAAGCCATGCAGAAACTACTGAAGAGATATCGGTGGATGAGTCGCAGAGCTCATGCGCCGCATTCCACCACAACAAAGTCAGCGCGATGGAGATTGTTTGCCTAGGGTTGATGCAGATGCAGATGCAGATGCAAACACCTGGAAGTCGCATTTTCGCCATTGTCACGGATGCGCAGGGCTTCCAGGTTCCCCGCCAGCTCAGACCATCGTGAAGAGCCAATGGGAAGGTGGCGCGAGATCCACTCGGACGCTTTCCGAGGGGATTGCCGCTCTTGTGAGGGTATCATCGAAACAACCTTGTAACGTGACATTGCATTTGCCCGGCAGAGCCCTTTTCGAAAATAATCGTGGGGAGTGGATGTAAAGTTTCAGAAAGAGAGCGCGACTGTGGCGTTATTGGGGATGCAGGAGGTTGTGGTGTTGGTGTTGTGAGAGGGCAGGGGTGAGCCATGACGTGCCGGATGCGAGAAGAGCTCCCCGCGCGCTTTGAGCTCAGCGCATGGCTGGAGCATCGCAACCACAATGGCTGACATGGCATCGCGAATCGCTTCAGTAAGGAGTCTATTGCCTGATCTCGAATCAGCGCTGCAGTCATTTACCTCGTCTCCCGCCAAGTTCCGTGTCGTGCGCACGGTCAACGACACGCCGACACAGCCCAAGACACTCTACATCCTCGACTCTTCCTTCAACCCACCTTCCATTGCACATCTCACCCTCGCGACATCGGCCCTGAAGCAGTCGACACCCCTAGAGAAGAGCCCGTACCGGCTGTTACTGCTGTTCAGCACCCACAATGCAGACAAGGCACCGAGTCCGGCAAGCTTCGTGCAGCGCATCGCCCTCATGACCGTGTTTGCCGAGGACCTGTCGCGAAGCTTGAAGAGCGCGTCACCTTCGATGAATGATGACGTGTCCAACGTGTCGATAGACATTGGCCTAACCAAGGAACCATACTACAGTGACAAGTCGGTTGCCATAGCCGAGACCACACCACCATTCTACGCGTCGCGGCCCATCCATATCCATCTCGTCGGCTACGACACCCTGATCCGCTTCTGCAACCCTAAATACTACCCCAAGTACGACCCACCGCTTTCGGCCCTCAAGCCCTTCTTCGATGCCGGCCACAAGCTGCGCGTGACCCAGCGACCGACGGATCCGAGCGACGAGTCGTCCAATGAATTTGGTACAACGGAGGAGCAGGAGAGATACCTGCAGGATCTGAAAGATGGCAACCAGGAAAAGGCTGGCTTCGAGCCTGCCTGGGGTAGCAACATCGATATGGTGCAAGCCGAGGAAGGCGTTGGTATAAGCTCTACCAGAGTGAGAAACGCAGCCAACGCGGGTGATTGGGACACAGTGGGCAAGTTGTGTACTGAAGGCGTCGCCGCTTGGATGAAAGACCAGGGCCTATACAGCGAGGATGCTAGCGGCAAAAAGATGATGGGCTGAAATACAACCACGTACATGGCATGTGCAACAGTGATGCATATTCGAGTCTCTCAGACGCAACACCGAAGGACATGCATACTGCGACCAAACGCCACTTCGGCTGCGTCAGAATTGTGTTTCATGTTTGGATAGCCACTGCATTGGGAAGTCGCCATGAACGGCACATGACACGCTCCTTCCACACCATATGAGGCCACAACATGGATGCAGCCGCGACTGCCTCACCCGTCCAGCATCTCACGCCATTATGTTTAGTCTTCGTCATCGAAACTACTTCCCCATACGTTACCATGTCTTCTGCAACCATTGGCACTTCCACAAGCTCATGTTGGTATCGGAAAGCTGTCCTGTTTTCATCCCTCTTTCCCAGCTTGCGTCCTTGGGCAAGCACTCCACGTGCACTGACGCAGTCATCAACAAACCAGCAGCTTTCCATGTGCAGCCACCCACTCATCCTTCCTCCACCACCTCCCCATCATGGCGACCAAGCTGTGCTGTACGGCCGAGCAGGACGATCGTTCAGATTCGCCCGAGCTACCCAACGCCCGCGTCAGTCAGCCTACACCAGTGAACAGGCCACTCCTACCCAAAGATGCTAGCTCACCCAATTCACGCTTCACGAGTGCCCGTTCGGAAGACCTCCATGAGTTGCATGAGATCTTCCACAACGCCCGCGACTCCAACGAGGACCGAGCCATGCCAATGCGAACGCTTCGTGCACGCTTCAGCCGTCCTTCGATGCATAGCATCCGCAGTCTACACAAGATGACGAGTATGCGTTCACTGATCAGACGCAAGTTTTCGAAGGAGCTCCCTAAGAAAGCCCCAACTGTTTCGTCACCACATTTGCAGCCGAGACCAAGGAACATTACTCCAGCTGCCGGCACTGTCGTCAAGCAGCTGAAAGACGGAACGAATCAGCAGCTTCAGATTACCAAAGATGACCTACGGAAGGATCTACTCAGCGACAAGAAGCCTGATGAGGGCGGTTATGATTCAGATGCTGAGGCACTTGACGAAATTGCAAACAACATTGGCAAGAAGTCACCTATCAAGCGTGCAAGTATCCACAGCATCGATTGGACTACCACTACCGGAAGGTTAGATGTTGCGAGCTCGTTGTCACGTCGTACTAATAATGGCCAGCAAAACAACACCAGACTCGTCGAAGAGAGACCGTATTAGCGGCGAGCTCAATGATGACCTCCCTCCCTACAGCATCGATAAACCACACGCCGGTCCTTTCTCCCACCGGTTCAGCCAAGTGTTCAGCACGCCCAATCTGCGATCGGATACGCCTGGTGGAAAGGATAACAGGGTCAGACGATCGCATTCGGCTACATCCATGGGCTTGCCGAAACCTTCTCCCCTTTCGCCGTTACGACTACCAAGCCTTACCGATCACGACTCAGCTGGAATACCGTGGGCTGAGGTGATGCACAAGAGCCTTCGTCTTTCGCAGTTTCCTGTGCCTCCACGCCACATCAGCCCACAAGCATCCGTTACAACCTTCAAAAACGACGGCCACAAGCGACACCAGAAACGAAGCAGCTCCGCTTCGGTATCGTCGCACCGAGCTCTTGAACCGACTGCTTCTCCTTGTGGTCGCCTCATTGAGATCCGCGTTCAACAGCCAACATCCACTGCAACCCCAAGGCCGTCTACATCTATCAGAGGCACTCTCCGTGGAGATTCACCGCGAAAGGCACGAGGAGGGGCACACAACGGCGAGGACGATGACGATGATGACAACCCACGTCGGTCTGTCCATCTTTACAGCATGCGCATCTCACATCATCTACGCTCCGGGTCTCTTCTCTCATGGGACCAACTTGCCGATGCACCAGAGCTCCCAACTCCGCCTCGCGCATTCCGTGAACGCACTGTCTCAGACCAGAGTCGAACTTCCCCACGAAGTAAGCAACTAGCCCGCCATGATCGGCAAACATCGAGCTCGGGCTTTGCCAGCTCAAAGGTTCCGAGTAGATGGGGTAAGGTATTGCCGAACGATCTTGACACCCGACCTGATGTTGAGTCTTCCATCTACTCGAGTCGACCTCAAAGCCCACCTGATAGTTTTGGAGGATCAGTGACGACTCTACCGCGCACTGATACTGAGAATCGCCCGGTCAGCATTTCCTCTGCTGATATACGACGGCCTCGACGTTCTGCTTCCTTTCCTACAGACAACGAAGACACACCAAGACCAGCTAAACGACATGGTCTTACCAACCTCGCAACTGTCACTGGCCATCCGATCGAGCCTTCGCTTCTTGCACCGCCCGCGCCGCTAGCACGCAAGAACAGTGTTGCTGATACCAAGACCTCCAAATTTCGGGAAGAGTTCAGCCCCTCTCCACCCAAGAAGAAGATGACACAGTCGGCATCCATCATCAAGTTCTTGAATCCGAAGCGCCTAAGTCTGCGCAGCCAGAGTGAAGCCAATCTACAATCTGAAGCTTCCGCCTCCTCGACTGTCGCGCTTGCCGCTGTCGATGGTCCATCTGATACGCTGGAACTCCCTGTTAATCATGGACGTCGTCAGTCACGGTCATTGATAAGTATGCAGGCTGAACAAGATGCACTTGGGAAGAACAAAGGCGCCAACCATGTATGGGATCGCGCTTTGCAAGCGCATCAAGACGAGAAAGCATCTCTCTATCTTCCCAAGAACAGGGACCTTGCTGTCCATGCGAGCCCATTCCGCGAGCGTAGCGGCAGCGTTTCCGTCAGACGCATCAGTGTCGAAGGCCTAGATCCAGCTAGTCGAGCTGACGATGGGTCTAGCACACGGGTATCGACATTGGATCCCCATGCCGAAACACCTGGTGAAGAGCGCTCCGAGGGGCTGTTCAAAATGGTGTCTCGTCGCAGTGCTATGGTAGGGCGTGATGATGTTAGCGTTGGACAAGAAGTGGCAAATGCATTTGAGCGGCAGGGCGACAGCACGGATGTCGTGGGGGCCTGGGGTCGCTACCCTTCGCACACGCGCCATGACCGTACCGCCTCTGCCGGAAAGGCTGACAACGTTCAGCCTCGCGACTTTGCACTAGAGGCAGCGATCAAGTTTGCTTCGGCAACGGATGACGAGGACCTCATCGATCCCACAGCGAGAAGACCGTCTACCCCACTGCTGCCTGGCGAGAAAAAGAAAAAGAAGAAAGTTGGCAGTGGTCGTGTAGCGAAGAGCAACTCGATGACGTTCGGCAAGACCCTCATGAAGAACTACACCAAAATGTTCAGGAGCCAGAGCACAGAATTTCGCAGGCATGGTAGAGGACACCGCAGTTCCATCGCATCTGGCGGCATTCTTGAGCATCCTGAGCTCGAGCTCCTGCCTGATGTGTGGGCGGGTGAAGTTCACAGAGACGTTGACACATATATCCCAGGTGATGAGCAGTCCGTGCTGAGACAAGAAACCTTGAAGAAGACGACTAAATCCAGGAGCAATCTACGAGCGGAGGATTCCATGGCAACACTCCGTCCACGGCGCAATTCTTCTGCGCCCAATCTCAACGAGATGTCGTTCGGCGATGGCGCAGCTGATGCGCAGCACGCAAACGATCGAGCACGTGTCTGGTCTACCTACTACGAGAACTGCGTCGATGCATACCCTCGTCTGAGTATCGACACGAACCGAGTCCTTCAGGACTTTGGTCGTCCGAATCGGCACTCATTCGATAGCCGGCAGGTGTCCGTGCACTCGCGCACTTTGCCTACTCATCTGCGCAAACACACGCGCAACGCTAGTCAGATGAGTCAGATGAGCAGTGGGAGCCGTGCCAGGAGCTTCGGCTCGCTGGGTCAAGATGACAGCGCTTTCGAGGAGCGGAGCTTGGTCAGCGTTAGACGAAGCACCATGGATCTGATTTCCAAGTTCAAACAGCAGGAGGCTACGGAGCATGAAAGGATCTTGTCCTTCAGCAGGATGGACAGTGGAAAAGCGCGGGAAAGTGTGGCGGCTCAGTGAGGTGGGTCAAGTTCGCGTCACGTCGTAATGTCTAATATTTGCTCATTGAGTCTGCCAGTGCGACGAATGTATCGTTATTGTCAGCATAGGTCAGTCCGTAGCATTTACTCGTCATACTTGGTCATTTTCTCGTTGTGTTGTCATCGCCCTTGAGGCTGGCCGTGCAATGCTCGAATTTCCATTGGCCGCGTATTTGCTCATCCAAGGTATGTACTCACGGGTATTAGAGCCGCGACCCACTTCCACTTCTGCAGCCAGTGGCAATGGCTCAATATCCAAGATATCTATCAATTCACAACAACACAGTGGCTCGTGCGGCGGGGACCTTGGGCTAGTGATTTGCTCCCACGTTTGACGTGGAAAATGTCTGCGGTGGGCTTTCGGGGTACTTGTCCGAACACACTGCCCGTTTATCTACTGGCGGATGCGAACTTTGGTTGCAGTTGTTACATTCAATTAAGGCCGCTCTACATTCTCACATTATTTTTGCTTATAAGGCTGGATATATCCCGCTGTTTATCTATTACCAGAGAACTACCCATCGCACACTGACTAAAGCACTAAGCCAACTACGACACGCTCGCTCGACCACCACCGACTCTCAAATATTACGCACCTGCTCGGCTGATACATACGATCAACCAACTCACATTCGCGCTGTCATCACACACTCAGTAGACTATATACGATCAACCCACGTACATCCACGCCGTCATCACACACTCAACTGACTATATACGGTCAACCCACATATATTCACGCTGTCATCACACACTCAAACGACTACACCGCGGCTCAAGTACTACATACAATCAGGTAATACATACAGTTGCCTACTACATACCCGCCTCACCACTACAAACGCGCCTGCACACCAAACCCAGGCTCACACATCACACTCGCGGTTTAGTAGTCGATCTCCAAAACACACGCCAGACTCCTACACACCATGTCTTTCCAATCCCTAGCCACCACCCCTAGCGTCCAAGCCATGAACGACAACCTAGTGAGGAATCTGTGGGCTTACCGCGAGATGGATGGAGGGGTTGATCAAGTGGTAGATGAAGGGGATGAGACAGAGAGTGCACATGAGGAGGATGAAGATGTGGAGATGGAGATGGAAGAGGAGGTGCAGGAAGAGGTTAATCCTTCACCATCATCACCATCACCAGAAGTGGAAGTGGAAGTGGCAGTAGAAGCTGCAGCAAAGGAGAAGAAATCACCTAAATTACATATCCCAATGAGGATTTGGAATCAGGTTGTGCCTAGAGGTAAGGCTGATGCACAAGTGGTGCAAAAAGTTCAAGAAGTTCAAGATCCCAAGGTGAATAGTCCGAAGCGCAAACGCGTTTCTCTTTTCTTATATCAGGAAGAAGAGATAGAGGCAAGTGACGCCTTAGCGCAAGAGCAGGAAGCAGAAGCGCAAGTACAAGAAAGAGGCCGCAGAAAACGCATAAAAACATTCAAAGCCTCTCAAAACGAAGAGATTTCGCGAGAGAAGACGAGCGGAGCTTCGCGGTCACGTGGGCATGCGGCTTCGGGTTCGACATCTAGACCTGCTTCGCGCCCCGCTGCTACTGCGGCTTCACGTTCTCGTGGAAGGGAGAATGTCGCATTATCTTCTTCTGCTCTCGCACTAGAAACCGCCGCCCACGCCCTGGACCTACGCGTCGCAAAACCCCCCTCCTCGTCTTCATCCTCATCCACCAAAGCATCACCGCCAACCACACCGCCCATTCCAGCAAAAGAAGGCCCCCGCGCAGCATGGCACCGCCTCTTCCCGCACCATCCCTCACTCTCAGACTACTACCACATCGGCGAATGGCGCGAACTAATGGTTTGGAAAGAGGCAAAAGGATATATTAAACGGGCCGCAGATGACCCTTGGGAGAAGCCGGTGTTTAGGAAACCGGGATGGAATAAGAGGGATGAGGAACATGAGATGTTGTGGCAGGGGTGTGAGAGGAGGATGGTGAGGGAGAGGGGGTGGACGTATGAGGGGAGGGTGGCGGGGGATGAGGGGATGGTTAGGGCGGCGGAGAGGGGTTGGGGTGTGGGAGGGTGGGAAGGTTGAGGGTTTGGAAGGGAGGCGAGGAAGGAGTTATTTATTTAGGAGGATTAGGAGGGCGATGATGGTTATGGTGGTTGTGCACCATGCTACTATGAAAAACCACGACGGCTCTGACATTACTTCTTCGCTTCCCGGTGTAGTCTTTTCGACTCTTTGTCTCCATCGGGTGAACCACCATGTATGCTCGTTTCTTGTATTCTTCGCTGAACTCATCCAACTCATTCTGTACGCGCTTTTTGTATCATATCCATCTGCATCTGGCTCAACCATTCCGTCATAACTCTCATTGTCACTACTCTCCTCGTCATCGATACAATCATAACTCCGTGCGTACTTAAAACACCGCACTTCTACCAGACTTCCGGGTTGGATCCGCGCGTCCCAGTCACCACTCCCGATCTGCATATCCTCGTTCACGTCCCATAGCTCTTCGACGACGATGCCGCCGTGTGCCAGTTCGTGTAATAGGGTGTTGATATTGGTCCATCGGGAGTAGATACGGTAGTCGAGGAGTTTCGTGGTCGTGCCGTCTTCGAAAACGAACGTCAAATGGATAGGTGATGGTGTTTTTGGCACCGTGAGACGTATTGCATATCCCTCATCTCCTTCTAGTAGGTGAATCCCAGTGCCAGAGTCGATTCGAGGAAGTACCATGCTCAAGTGTTCTATCTCGTGAGTCTCCTCTCTCGATACATCGCCGATAAGACACCGTAGTATCCAATGTGTGCTGAAGTGATAGCACCAGTCGAGCCAGGTAATGGGTATTGACTCGCGTCGTGTAGCCAGACTTCTTAAGTCACTGTCGGTATCGTCTTGAGAGCGGGTTTCTCCATCGTGTTTCGTTCTGCGATCGTTTCTTTCGTTCGATATCTGTAGTGCGAGCATAGTTGAAATGCGCACTCATACCCGAAGATGACTTTCTGGCGCCCATGTCTGCCCTTCATAACCCTCATCATAGCGCTTGCCAGCTCTTCTACCCGCATAACGGCTTTGGAGGAGGCTAGTTGAACGACCACATGTCAAGAACAAAGAGTCTCATTCGTCATCCCGATATCTCTCGCACAGGAACTGTATATCCATCCAACACAAGCGCTCCACACCACATGGCATGGACACAGGTACCATGTACCCCACGGCATCCTCATATTGCGAGAGACAGCCAGAAGTCGAGATGAATCGAATGATGCGGAAGCGTAACACCAAGCCCAAGAACTCCACATTCTGAATATGACAGGCTTTGATGATGTTGAATGGGTGACACCAAACCCACATTTCCCGGCACACCCTGAACAACTGAACAAAGCATCTCATCAACACATGTCACGCACAGCGCTAGCCAAGTTACACCCGCAGGCCCTTCCACTCACTGACAAACGGCTCCACGGGAAGGTACCCTCGAATCTACGTCAAGAGATTCTCCACATGTTAGGAATGTTACGTGGATAGATGATTATCTCTGCGTGTTATTGAGCTACTGGTTTTTTTTTGAAGAGGCTTATTATTAGAACGAGATGTTGCAAATTAATGGTCAGTATAGATATGAGGTCATTTCTACATCCTAACTACATCGCTTCGTCCTCGTCTAAAAACGACCGTGGAGCACGTCAACACCCAATCGTGCTACTACGTAAATACAAACATCGAGGATATCTATCATCCAAAAACGCCAATCGCTATCCCTAGATCATCATCAAAATCAAAGAACGAGATTCGTACAACCGAAAGATCCCATCTTCATCCCTACTCCTCCCGCCTCTCCTTGCCCTTACCAAGCGGACTCATCCCCGCCCCACTCCCCAACCTCTTACTCCTAACACTCACCTCCCTCGCCAAACTAGCCTGACTAGCCTTCCCCCTAACCTTGAGACTCTTAATAGAATTCGACGGACTAGGCCTCGGACTCATCCTCGGACTACCCCCTCTACTCCCACTACTGCTCATCTGTTCAAACCTCCCCGCCAGATCCTTCACCCTCGTCGGCGACTCCTTCCCATTCCCATTCCCATTCTCATCCCCAGCAACGCTTGGAGGAACATCACTCAATATGCTCGCGCCATCGATATCCGCATTAACGACTCTGAGTTTACTTTTAGGAACCGTAAACATGACTTGCACGACGCGACGCTCGACTGCGGCTTCGACGTCCCAGTCTGCTTCGCTGGCGGGGGTGCAGGGACGGTCTCTGTCATCTCCTCTATCGTGTGACGGTGGTACGCCTAGCTGATCTGGGGAGATGGGTGTACGCGGGGTAGGCAACCTCTCCTCACTGTTGATAGTGACGAGGAGATTGCTACCACGTTCGCGCCACTCTTGACGCGCGCGTTCACGTTCAAGTATGGCGATATCCTCAGGCGCGCCCCAGTCATCGCCTGCGGTACGGCGCCAGGCAGGATCTTGTTCCTCTTCGAGCCAGTCTTGCTTGCCGCGGCGGTTGCGCCAGAAGCTTGCATCGGAAGCGGCGCGTTGGGGCGTCGAATTCGTAGTCGCAGTAGCAGGGAGGGATTTTCTGTTGACGGAGCGGGGAGAAGGGTCGACGGGGGAGGTAGGGTCGTCTCTGTAGGGCTCGTGGTAGGTTGGTGCTGTTGTGAGGGAGCGCGTGCGTTCGGCGCTTGAGACGGAGCGTGTTAGTACTCTGCGGACACTGCCTAGCCAGCTCATTCTGCGCTCTCTGGTTGCGGGACGAGGGGCGGATGATAGGTCTAGTGCGAAGGATGTTGCTGGTGTGGCTGTGGCTGCGCGACTGTTGCTGCGGTCTGAGTCGCGGTGTGTGGTTGAACCGGATGAGCTCGTGTCGGGTCTGGATCGCTCTGGGTTTCCGCCGAGGAGTACCTCGCCTTCTGCTTGTAGACGGGAGAATGATGATTGTGCGGTGCGGAATGAGTCGACATCCTGCTCTCCTTGCAGGCTACTGAATGACTGCGTTCGCGGG